AGGGAGATGTGATCAAGGTTTCAAAATCCTGAGAGGTCCTGACAAAGTAAATGCAAAGTATAACCTAAAATGTCATTAATAAAACAAAGACCCAAGAAAAGAAATGTTTTGTTTTGGAATTTCATTGTGTTTAAGACTTAACTTAAATTCAAAGCACATTTACTGTACACAGGAGGTAGCTGGTGCTGAGAACCAATGTGCCAGCCATACTGCATCTCTGAAGCTAAATCCTTCAAACAGTGACAGGGTGGAAGTATCCGTTAATCTAAATAATAAAGTGTGATATCCACCAATATAACCTGATGTGGATTGAACTATGTATTCGCATTGAAACAGGGCAATGAAAATGTCCAGCTATATGCAAATTCACAGGTTATACTTATTAACAAGCTATAGCAATTCATGGGCTAAGGAAATTAACAGCATTTTAATCTCCTAAATAATAACGTTTGCTCCATATCAGTCTAAAAAGTTAATAAACTGCAGCTTTAATCATGAATTACCCTATTTAAAAGCACAATGATATTCTAATTTTAAGGTTCTCAGAATACACTTTCACATTATTGATGGCCGATACTAAAAATATGTACACAAGAAATGAAGGAAAACACAGAGATTCTTATCTTGCAACTGGCAAATGTTTAAGGGTTTCCTTCTCTGTTGAAACTGCATAGAGCAATTTAAACCGTGGGTGGACTTTGAAATTCTTATATGCCTATGTTCTGAAAGGCTTATGAGACAACGGTCCTACAGGAACATTGTGTCCAGTTTGGGCCACCGCCTTACAAAAAAATACTGGTGCTCTAGAAACATACAGGGGCCCCCAAGTTCATTTACACACCTGGGGTGCTACACCGACACCCCACACCTGGGGTGGTCTATGTGGAGTTTGTATGTTCTCACTGTGCTTGTATGGGTTTCCTCTGGGTGCTCAGGTTTCCTCCTACAGTCCAGATAGGTTCCCCTGTGACCCCATATTGGATTAGATCCAGTTAGAAAATGGATGTTTTAAGATATACAGTAGAAGCCAATTGGTAGATAAGGTTCATTGAACAATGAGCTACTACAAACTAAATAAGGAAGATGGACCAAATAGTCTTTTTACAGTATGTACAGTATAACATACAGTAGAATCATATATTCTGCAGCTTTAGTAACCAAATGAAAATCAGTCAATTCAAACTGATTTATATTTTATTGGCTAAGAAAACATTCAACAATGAACAGAAACATCCCAATAAAACAATTTGAGCAAGCGTTCCATTGTACAACTAAATGTTTTTGCCTTGCAGTTTTTAGAAGCTTTCATTTGCCTATAATACTATGAAGTCTTGAACATAAATCTTTAAATATTTTTTTAAACATATTAAGCAGCCATATCACCCTGCAACTCACAACTGGCAACCCCCTGAAGCTAAGTAGGTGTGAGCCTGGTCAGTACCTGGATGGGAGACATCCTGGGAAAAACTAAGGTTGCTGCTGGAAGAGGTGTTAGTAGGGCCAGCAGGGGGCGCTCACCCTGCGGTCCATGTGGGCCCTAATACCCCAGTATAGTGACGGAGACACTAAAATGTAAACGGGTGCCGTCCTTCGGATGAGACGTAAAACCGAAGTCCTGACTCTCTGTGGTCATAAAAAATCCCAGGGCATTTCTCGAAAAAAGTAGGGGTGTAACCCTGGTGTCCTGGCCACATTTCCCATTGGCCTTTACTTACCATGGCCTCCTAATAATCCCCATCTATGAATTGGCTTCATTACTCTGCTCTCCTCCACACTGATGGCTGATGTGTGGTGAGCATTCTGGCGCATTATGGCTGCGGTCGCATCATCTAGGTGTGTGCTGCACATCGGTGGTGATGGAGGGGAGTCCCCATTACCAGTAAAGCGCTTTGAGTGGAGTGTCCAGAAATTGTATTATTATTATTATTAACTGCATTGCAATGACTGTAATGAGACTACTGACAATAACATGGCAGGAAAAAAAAAACCCTACAGATTGTTTTACCAGAAAAACAGAAAGAGATCAGTGTTGAATGTAGAATAGGATAAATTATTTCTCATCTACACAAGATGTTGGTAGTGAAATGAATGTGACTGACAGCATGATTCATTTGAAACTAGTCTAAAATCAATTCTTGTCTAACCTGAATTCTGTGCATTTTTTTTGGCTCACAAAACACTGTGTCTTTTGGTGCTCAAAATAAATGTTTTACAAACCTAAAATGTTTTACAAGCTTTCATTTCTGAGTCGGTTTGTTGCAATAAGTTTATGCAGTACATGTGTTGAATCTTAAATCTTATATCTCCAACCCTGATCCTGGGGAGCTAAAGAGTTGTCTGGTTTTTAATCCAATCAAACTTTTACTTCTTCAGTTGGACCTGTTAATAGCTCAGTCAAGATTTGCACTATTTAAAAAAATAGAATTGGCAACTATATATTGGGTGGCATACAGTATACAGTAAATATATCCAACCAGTTTTGAGTAACTGCTTATTTTTAAGTATTTTAATGTATTTCAATATTGATTTCTATAACACTCTGGAAAAGGACAGGATACATGAGCAAATGCTTCTGACCTATATGTGTAGTTGCTCATCATGCCGCAAGCCAGAAATCACCTGTCAGGAGAGTCAGGGCAGAATGGAGAAGATTTTGTTTCTCTCACTGATGTCATTCTAAGCCATCAGGTTCAAAAGCTTTGGTTCATCACTCCCTGTTCTGCCCCAGCAGCACTGAGCCAAATCTGTTCCACCACTTGGGGAATACCAGTCATAGTCCACAAGTGACTTCATTCCCCAGGCCTAGGACTGAACTTGCCATGCAGGCCCACAGAATTCACCTTGCTGACTGGATCAGTTAAAGGTGAACTGCAGTCCCAATTTCTCAGATCAATCTTGGTAACAAAATACATTAATTGATGCTATGAAACAAAATTACAAATTTCAAATTAAGCACAACATTGTGAACTCTGTGAAAGTACTGTAAGTAGCCATGTTGTCACAAACTCGCATTCCCCTGTTTCCACGAATTGCAACAGGATTTGGCCCTTCCTCCTCACTAGTCTCCATAAAGACTAATGTAATGTGATGTAAGAGCATTTAAATACAGGTCATGCAGCACATTTCACAATGTGATCCGCATGCAGAGTTAACAAGTAGTATTTGTTGGCAAAAACATCTTGAAATCAAAAGCAATATTTATATTGGATTAAATTAGATGAATTCACAAGTCTGCTTGTTTACAATGTTATAGGGCCACATAAGTCACCGGAAGTCTTGTTTCCTTATTCTGAAATGCAGAACATGGTGCTGTGCATACCTGGAAATTTCGGCTATTTTGCGATGTAAATTGAAGGTTATACAAGTTACTGTGTACATCTTACTTTTATTGTAGGTTGAAACGCACTCAGCAATGCTGATTCTTTCTAACCCCGAAATATAAAAATAGCATCGCAGTAACCCTTTGGGAGAACCCAGTTCCTGAAGATCCCTATAAATCCTGAAAGACTGAGGCCTGCCAGAACCAGAGTTGAAGATGTCTGATTCAAATGCTAGATCAGGGGTTCCCAATCTTGGGCCTGGAGGACTAAACACCTGCTGGTATTTACTCCATCCCAGCTCTTATTTTAACAACTGAACATTTCACTGACTTAATATTAGGATTGATTTGAGCTGTTTTTACTCACTGTTTTCAGCTCTTAACATGTGCTACATATTGATTATTAACTATTGTGTAACATCCAGCCATTTTCTAGCCACTAGCCACTCACCTGGAACAAAAAACCAGAAGGCTTTGTAGAACTTAGAGAGTAGATTTGGAGACCACTGCAAAATATAGCAACAGCCATCCCCTTGAAGATCAAATCACAAGCACACATTCTTTTTCAAAACTGCAGCTTTCAGTGTACTCACTGTACAGTCATCTTCCCATTAACTGAAACATTAGCAGATCCTGATTATCATACACAAAAAAAAACTCAAAGGCAAGGAAAGGACACCTAATTTAATTCACAACATTATCCAGAATTCACATTGTTCTGCTCCATTATGTTTAAATCTAGAAAAATCAGGATTTAATTTTATGTGCCAGACAAACTACATTTTAATGATTTATGATACAGATGGCAAACTTTAAGTAAAGCAATATAAATCTCCATATAAATGCCACATTTTGAAAATCCTCCACTAGGATTTCTTCTAATTGAGGAATTGGCATCTATGAACATGAAGGTAACAATCTGTTCTTAAAAGCTGCAACAAAGAGGTAAGGTCAAATGGTTACACTATCGGTAAATCTTAAAAATAAACTGTGTCTGTTACAGATTTATGAACATGCAAATGTATCTTGAGGAAGTGTATAATCAAGTGTGTTGTTTCTCAAAAAATAACAGAGTTATTTGCTTCTCTAGTGGTCTAGTTTATACAGTGGACATTTGGCATGGTAATCATTCACTAATAATGCAAATCAGAGCTGAACTGATATACGGTAAGTCTTCTTTCAGGCATCTCTGACTTATGCTCACTCCAAAAACTAGGGGCCAATTTTCTGTTCATTGTCAGGATCTATGGGCAGTGAAAAAAAACTACTGCATTGCAAAAACAAAACAATCCCTGAAATTTGCTTTGATTTTTTTTTTTTGCTACATAAGGAGAAAAAATGTTGACTGGAAAAGAAGTTAAATTGGAAAGATGCAACCTCATTTGTTTGGGTTTTCTCCACATTGGGATAAACTGGATTTTGTAAACATGCTGCAGGATTGTGCTTTGTCCCTGACCACAACTGCATAAATCATTGAATATTAAAAACATAAATCAGTTTTGCATTGAAGCCATGAGATCACTGTACCAATAACATGCCAGAAAGCAACCCCACAATGATTTCTTATGGGAAGCTTTAACATAACAGAACTAGCAGTGGCAGTAAATAATCACAATGTTTAGCTTTATATCATGGATGTACTGTATTCACTATGTTATATTTACTGCTTATTGCTTCTTACCATTCTCATTCACCCCATTAGTCTGTGTCGGGTGTTCGACCTGCGCAACAAGGTTGTTATCTTGTAGAACATCCATCAATTTTGCCTGGTTCTGTTCCTTCCATGCATCATTACCTTTGTCCAATCTGCAAACACATAAAGAGGCAGGGAAAGTTAATTTAAGTCATGCATTTAATGATTCAAGCATTGTGCACCTAAGAGAGCAGCCTACAAAAGGGGCTTCAATAGTTCATAGACTTGGAATTTGAAATTCTTAAATGCATCCTCTAAAAATGTCAAATAGGCTGTCAGAAATAATACTACACAGGAAAAAAAACGACATTCCACACCTGATATATTTTAATAGAGAGCTTAAAACGTACATTTGAGACAAATATTTTAGTTGTAATCTTGAACATGGCATTTGCAGACATGATTAAAAATGTATTACAAAAACTATTAGTTTAGTTTATTGTGTGGTTTACCAGCTGTGAAAAGCTAATTTACACCATACCTTTGTTAATAATAATAATAACAACAACAACAACTGCTTTCACTTATATAGCGCTTTTCTGGATACTCCACTCAAAGCGCTTTACAGGTAATGGAGACTGTTACACTAAAACATTTAGAAAATCATTGGCAAACAACTTTGCTTTTCTCTTCTCTACTACGAAGATCAAGTTCTTTTACGCATGAATAATCAGCTGTTGCGCTCATGAAATAGTCTTTATTTTCTTTTTAGAAACTTGATGTAGAACAGGCATGAACTCTATCACCAAAAGTCTATACAGAAGGAGTTAGAATGAATCCATGGCTTGTCCTGAGAATGGAGAAAAGCTTTGGATTTTATCCTCCAAGGTCATTAACATCAGATTGCAGACTTGCTGAAGCATATAGCCAGATAAAATGGGCACATTCTCTATAGAGGGAAGACAGTGGCCATTTCCCCTTAGTCTTAAATGATCAAAGCAGTGTAATCCTGTCAGACCATAACTTTTGAGATTCATGAGTCTGGTTTTCTTTTACTTGTTTGGTCAACTACATGCAATGTCTGATAGATGCCGTCTTTCCCTTGCAGGTTGAAGTGTTCTGTGTAAATGGAGATGGACCCACATGATAACAAAATACTCCATTTTAGAATAACTTCAAGAGCCAGCAAACAGAATGCCCATAGTTTCTTTACAATAAATTATAGAAATCTTTCTCACTCCATTTTCCAGATGTCTTCTCTCATGCATTATGTTTCTTAACAAGTGAAATCAACAGCATTTTCACAGCTAATACTTTGTTCATGACTTTTTCAGCCTGGATAAGCAACTACTGTTAAGTTCCCCTATTTATTTTCTTTCTAAGCATCATTTAATTTTTACAGAACACAGCTAACTTCATTCATGTTTAGAAATTGCTTTCACCTGGAACGAGTGAGGAAATTTACAACCATTATAAAATAGAAACAAATGGAATGAGCTGAACCATCTTCTCTACTTAGTTAAACTGAGTCATTTCCTCACTAATTTAAACACACAAAGTATACACATGGCTGTGAAGGATTCGAAAACACAGCTATTTTTTTTAAATGTAGGACCACAAAGCAAATATGATTGCAAGCCACACTGATGGCATAAAAATCTTTATTCTGTTCCTCTTTAATCGTAGCACTGTTAAAAATAATTATTTTATTCTGTATTTAAAAAATTGAATACATAAAAAAATTATTTATACATAAAAACTTTTTCCCTGAATTGTCAGATATTACAAATAGTTTGTCACACATTCATTTTTCTGCAGGTAGCAATTAAATGTCAAGGACTGATTTTGGTTCTGATTTCAGGCACCTAAAACCTTCTCATTCCTGGTCTGGCATCTAGGCATCAGTGGTTTGTACTGTAGACATTTGGTCTGATTTACAACGGCATTTTGAGCTTCTGAAGTCTCAAGACAGATTGGCTACAGCTTAATAGTCACTGTACCACCCACTATTCACTATTCAACAATTTATTTTCAACTCGGTGCTGTACTCAACATTTGTAAGTCACAGCTAAACATTATTTTAAAACTCTTATTTTACAAAGTTTTATGAGGGTGTTTTGTTCATAAAGTGGTGCTGTGATTTGTTTGTCATATACATTTTCTGGAAAAACTATTCTAGATACTTAAAAAAAGGTGTTCGATGAAGTTGCTAGATTAGTACAGTACATGTGTAAAAGTCGTGGCTTGCTTTTCATGATGGAAAACGTAAATAGTGCTTGAACATACTACAGTATGCTGGCAGAATTATTTTTCTCTTTCAGTCCTACATTAGAGTTCCCCTTCTGTTATTTATGTAACTTGATGTTAAAAGGTTTGTTTAGAGCACGACACATAACTGTGTTCTGCAGGAATGTGAACATCAGACCTACGTTTCACTGATAAGTAAAAATAAAGAAAACGCACCACAGTTACAATTGCCATGGCAACAAAATTCAAGACTATTCTATTTTGAAGCCTCATTTAGCATTTTATTACTTATATTAACTCTTCAGGGACTTTTGAACTTTATTAGGGGCTATGGGTGTTGACTTTTATCTTAGGTTGATGACTTTAGATGACTAACCAGTTGCTGTAGAAAAATTAAAGTGGTGAGGTGTTCACTGGGGATTAGAGATGTCCTTGTGAAGGTGTTCAATGGGATAAGAGATGTCCTTGTGACAACTTTTCTTTATAGACACATCAGTCTTCTTCATATAAATGTACAGATAAAATTGTTAGTTTTGGAAGAATAAGCTTTAACAAAATCTATACAAATGGCTGCATGGAAATGGTTAAATACAGCAGCTAACAACTATTTTCAAACTTTCCTTTTGAGACCAATGTGTTTTTCAGTCATCAATGCAGTGTTGTTTTTTAATGCCAGTTTGTTATTGTTTTTTTTTAATATATTTTTTATATTTTTAAATGGCCAGATTTCTTTGGTGCTTTCTTCATCATGAAATACATTTTTGAATCGCACTTTTTCACTCACGTGGAAGAACCTCAATCAAACTCTTGAGTCTTAAATGGAGAATGAGAAATTATTATATTACATAGCCTTAACACGCAATGACAAAATCAACTCAAAGTATTACCAGTACTTCAAGTTTGAAGATGAAGATTTGAAATGTTGTCTCAGGTAAATTTCCAAATAACCAATACACATAGCACAAGAGACACACAACATCACAAGCCTAGTTCCTTGTTTTGAAGACCTTAAACAATCCTGAGAGTCCTGAGGATTGATGTCACAATAAATTTACACAATTAAACCTGATACACTCTTCCACTGAATGTTATGTAATACATTAATAGACGGAGAACCATCTGGGTCACAGATCCAAGTCACAGGACCAATATATTTGACCAATGTAACATATGAGGTTCAAAGTACTGTCTTAGGCAATTCACCAAATAATTACGTTGCTACACTTTTATCACACTCTTTAGCAGCATGGAGATGAAAAGATCTGGAGAATACTGTCATGATTACAGTCTACACTACACGGCCCATTACAAAAACACAGGTGGAAATTAACAGCTAAATAAAATTGAATTATCAGCTTCACTTGCCTAGCATCGCCTGGTGTCAGGGGCTGGAAAATACCCGAGGACCAGTATATCAGGTCTCAACCAGAAATGAATGTCACAAGTGATTTCATAATAGTGCAGGGTGTTTCCCGTCTAATGCCGATTGCTGTTGCGAGCTGGGATAGGCTCCAGCTCACTCACAACCCCAAATTCGATGAAGAGGATAGAAAATGGATGGATGGACGGATTTCCATCCAACATTCCAAAACATACAGATCACCTCCTATCATAAAGAAATGGGGAACTCATGACATTATTTATATAGTTCTATTTCACTACAGTATGTGTAGGAAACTGTAGCAGTGCACATCATGATCGATGCAACATGACTGTGCTCCAGGTCAGAGGTACTGTACACTATAAGCTTTTCTTACAGTACATCTTAGAGAGGTGGGAAAAACCAAGAAAACTGAGAGAACAAACTCCACACAGAAGGCAATCCAGGGCAGAATAAAACCCAGGATCCCAGAGCTGTGTGACAGCAGCACTAATACTGTATATAGATAACTAAGCAATGTATCCCAAAATGAGAAAATATTGACACTCCTTCATGTGCCAAACAGTCTCTCCAATGATAAAAATAGAGCACCAATTTTGTCCAATATTGTATCTTATTCTGTTTAATAATAATAATAATATTAATAATAATAATAATAATAATAATAATAATAACAACTACTGTTTAATAATGTCAAGTTAAAAGATGGTCAAGTGTCAGTCTGCCCTTTCAGTGTGAAATGAATGCTGCCTAGAGCTTCTTAAGAGATTATGGCGACTAATTTGCCATGAATGCAGCATCTTGTTCATTAGCAATCACCTTCATTCCAGAGAGCAAAACTATATTAAAGAGAATCGTACAATAGTCACGCTATGTCTCTTAGTAGTTGCAGTTAAGAGCACATCACTTTTAGAATGGCAGGTTTTCCATCTTTTAATACACACAAAACCAAGTAAATATGTTTTTGTTCACTGCCCAGTAACAGAAGTGAAATTAATTACCAGAGGCATTTGCAAAGATCAACTGTTTCCTCAGTCACTCTCTCCATTTACAGGTCACAGCTGACAGGGAAACTAATGGTATTCTGTGGAGATGGTAAAGAAGTCACCAACTAAGATTACTTATTTTATGAAACACACTGAAAGGACAAAGAGGAAGCTCAGAAATATTTTTTTAGAAATTTGAGACTTTCTGTTTTAGAAAGCAGATACAAAGTCACTGCTTACATTTTTAACAATAAATAAGATCACTGCAACACAGAAGGAAAAAAATGTCTTTTGCATAATATTTTACCCAGCGTGGGATTGTTAGTATTGTGTAGGAAAATATAAAAAATAGCATGCAGATGATTTTCACAAGTGGTGCCCTACCTTTCATTCTGATCTTGGGCTTTAAATACAGGTTAACTTGGTTATACAGGGCTGTATCAATTTGGGCTGCCTAACATTTAATCTCTGTGTATGATATGTTATTGTATTTCTAAAATCTGAAAGTGTCAATATCATAGGCCCTGTTAACATGTGAAAATGGAATTAAGCAGTGGAG